CTCGCTTAATATGCATTTTTTCCTAATTTTGGCAACGTACGTAATTAGAGGAACTCTTCAGCTTTCAAACAAGCTAAAGTAAACCAAAATCGGTCCATTAGTACGGAAACGCCAATTGTTTTAGTCAAACTTGCTTTACTGAGAAGTTTGGAAATGGCGTTTAGCGCCTTTTCGCATAAATACGTCCATTTTTGCCTCGACTTGAGAGCTTTTTTTGAGCTTGGGAGTTGATTTCAGAGAAAACCAGTGGCACCATCGTGTTTCTCGCGAACTTTTACACATGAATCAACTGTCAAATCGCAAATTCCTCACACATGCAACATCTCCATTTAAAATGTGACGAATTGAACATCAAAATGTGCAGTTTTAATCGAACATTTTCATGTCCTACTTCTCCGGTTGACTCGATCCACTGTGCGTCGTCGCCTAAAACGAGCCCAAAGGATCGGGCAGTAATGCGGCAACAGATGGTCACTCCGGGCCGCATTTCTCCCGTGCTCAGGAAGAACGCCGTATGAACCTTCAAACGTTGCCAAATTGGAGGGTATGGAGTCTATCGACATGAATCGATCGAAAATTAATTTAAAAAAACCCAGTGTAGATTCGATCGACTTGAATCGATCGAAAAACGAAAACGCGAACCAAGTAACGTGATTTCATCGACGCAAATTCGATTGACTCACGGGATTGTCGATAGACTCGCGGATTTTGTCGATCGCTTCACGGGTTCGTTGATCAACTCACGGCTTTTGTCGATCGAATCGATGTCGATTGAATCACATCGATCGGTTCACGTTTCGGTTTTTCGATCGATTCTTGACGATCGAATCGACACTGGTTTATTATAGCCTGGTGCCTAAATCGGTATATTCCCTTCAATAAAAAACTAATCGAGGGGGAATTTTGCGAATACTTTCCTTAAAAATTTTCAGATAGTTTCTCTTGCAATTTAATCTAAAAATTTGTGACAATTTCAATGGATAATATGTATAACTTTCCTCAAAAGTACATGTTTTATCCGGAGAAATTCGGCAACTATCGGATGCTCATACGGTGTTTTTCATTAGCACGGCACATTTCTCCCGCCAACTTGGTCGTTACCATAGTTGCATTCTAGAGATCTCGAAGTCCTGCCCTTCGCGCCTTTAGCGTAAAAGGACCTATCTCGATTTCGGCGTTAGTTTCATACGGATGGAGATACGTGCAAAACAGGGCTCACGTGGAAATTGAAAAACGTCTTTACGTCTCAGGGATACGCTTCAACAGAAGCAGAATATCATAGAGTTTCCTTATTGCCAATGGAGGATTTGCATGAGGAGACTGTATACAGTACAAAGTAAAACAGTTGAATGGGACCTCATTCGTAACACTTAGCGGGCTGAATATTGAAATTCATAGACAAAGCGATAGACAAAAAAGACACTGGAAATAAAGTGATTCTGTCGATTCAAGCGGGTGGTTGCAATGGACATAATTTCGTCACCGGCGCTTCACTCAACAGGGCAGAGTTAAACCAGACGCAGAAATTTTGCACCTGCGGGCTGATTGTTGAAATTGGTAGACAAAGCGATAGACAAAAAATACAAACAGGATATGGAGGGACCCTATTCGTGGAAGTGGGTGGTTGCAATGGACGAAGGAGGTAAGTAATAGACTAAGAAACGGCAACACACGAGATACCCTACAGTTAGTCGATCATTTTCCCCCTTATTCCATAACAACTACCCGTTTCAAACAATAGGATCGCCCCATATTTCCTATGGCCTCTTTGTCTATTAGGCTATCAATAATTTCAATAATCAGCCCTCAGTTCGAAGTTCCGCGAGATTGCTTTAAATAGAGGGCCGAGTTAAAACTCCGAACAAGAATACATGTGAGAAGAGAAGAACACAAGCGAACATGTGATTTTATGAACGAGACAGTAATATTGTAGTTCCGAATTACAAAATACACCATGTTGTTGCATTTATTCCGATTATCTTCACTTATTTTTCAATCCCGTCCTAATGCGCCAAACGCAATTATTTGTCTAGGTTCAACCAGCTGATGCAAGCGATATCGGATCCTGTATCGAGGACTAATTAGACTCAGGATCCTTCCGCGTCTGCCAACCAGGAACTTGATTGATGATGCTCGCCCGTGCGCCAAACAGCGTTGATTCAAGCTCGGACAAGTCAAGAGTAATGAATCGCGAGATTTTCGCGAATCGATGCCGACGTGTTTTTGACGTTACCGCTCGCCCAACGAAATCCCGTCAACGCGTCATAACGAAACTGAAATATTTGTTTTAAATTGATAGGTCGCGGGTGACGGGGAGGAGGGGGGTCGGAAAGGGGGCTGAGGGGCAGGGAGGAGGGATTTATGGGGAAAGTTAAGCGGAATCGCGATAGAGATTGATTATATCGCCGCGTCTAACATCGCGCGTCTGGATCGGACGGATTTGGCGAATAAAATCGCATGTACTGGGCAGGCGAGTGCGAAAAGTGAGGCATTTTCGATATAAGGGCGTATTAGACTTTCAATGCTGCTATGCAACGTTGTTCTCCAGTTGTAAGTAACGTATCACGGAAAACATTGAATGTTGGTTTAGCATTATTTATACTATTAAAAAAATGTGCAACAAGTAATATCAAATGCTGATTTTACATTAAAAAAAATTCTAACTCAACATTAAATTTGTTCATTTAACCGTGGCCATAGTTAACATAGCATTTTTTAATGTAAAAGCAGCATTTATACTTGTCGCACAGTTCTTTAACTATTTAGATGCTAAATCAACATTTAATTTTTTCTCCGTCCTGCATTTGCTCCGAGTTTTTTCTCACCATTGTAAAGTAGGAAGTCGACTGCACATGAATTTCATCTGACGCACACGCTATAAAAATATATAATAAAAATATAATACTCAGAGTTATTATTTTCAATAATTTGTCAGCGTATTAATTGTTATTATTTTTGTTTTTTGCAGGTGGCAGCCCAAAAACGAGCAATGGAATGAAGGAGCCGGGACTCTTCAGTGATTCGGTAAGTTCTCACCTCGTTTTTCTGCAAGTTTATTCAAAGTAGTATACTCATTAACAGGTACTCTAAAATACAGTATGGATTTCTCTATAGGTGTATGAATTGCTTGCAGTCAGAAAAATTTGCAAGCGGCATGAGTATTAACTCATCAAACCGCAAAATTCGCGAAGTCGATGTGATCGATTGGTAGAGAACCACAAAAACACGATCTCGGCCTGAAGCGCCTTCAAATCCAGCGATACTCCCCGCTTTGTCTAGGAGTTAGTTTAGTTGCTTAACCCAACCAAACCCAACTGAGGTCATTGATTTCACTTTACCCACTCGCAAATGTGCTAGCTGGGCAAGCGTGTAGAAGAAACCATCCCGCCCACCCCTTACTTGTTTTTTACTTTACGTTCTATTTGAGCTCGTATTAATTAAGAAATTTCATTTGCCATTCAGAAAATCACAATTTGCGAATGTTGAACCAATTGAATTTCGTAATTTTCGTCTAAGACCAGTATTGAACTTTGCAGCCGTGACGTTTCGATACCACTTTTTCCGATTAATTTTCATCTCGTAAAATCCGTCTCATGATCTTAAAATTACAAATTTGCCCCCTTCACATCGTCAACAAAGTCGATCTTGTTTTCAGTTCTGCGTGGAGAGATGTATTCATAATAGTATGACCCATGGAATATTCTTCACTCTGTTAAATTTTCAACATACTTTGAGTTGCCTGATCTATTTTTTTTAAACAAAACTTGTTTGCTCGTGGTTGAAGTGCAATTAATTAAAAACCTGACAACTATGTCCTACGATAAAGTTTCAATTCGATTAAGACCACTCGAAGTTACGAGTTAGAAGACATATAAAATTCTTCTTGTTAAAGTGAAGAAGAAGGTGAAACTGCTCTGTGGAATCTCGGCGAAATCAAAAGCTCACCCGTAATTCGTTCCTGTATAAAAAAGTCGTAATTTCTGTCTTTACCTGCAGCTCCCGGGGAAAAATCCGTTTTAATTTAAACTTTCAAGTTCTTGGTTTAATTTTATTAAATCCGGGTAAGCTTCCATCCGAAAGTTGCGAGCGAAGTTAGTTTTATACAATCTTAAGTGCTCGCATATGTTAATAGTCACTCTAACCTGAGTCGACCTGTATTTTATTCAAATTAAAAGTATCCTCTCAAGTCGGAACGAAGATGAAGGGTAGGCGGAGGTCGCGGGTGGAAACTTTGGGATCCCAAGTTTTATTCTCGCCTAGCCTTTCTCGTCGGAAGGATTTGGAGGTTGTTTTTTAGGCAAAATTAATTTTCGCCAACTGATTTGCATTCCTCATCACTGCATGCGTTATCAAGTCGCAGACGAAAAATTATGTATTAGCGGATCCAGCAAATTGGCAAAATTGTTTTCCCCCGATTTAAACCTATGAAAATGTATTGAATCTTGTAGGGACCAGGTGCTCCGATAAGAATCGATTATTTAACATTCATTTAAATGAAGGAAATCCGGTGTTGCCTAATTGCTGGATCCGCCTCTGAAAATACGATGCAAACTTTTTAAATAATAATTTTAAATTCAAGAATTTTTCACCCGCGCTAAGGAAGAACGCCGTATGAGCCTTCAGACGTTGTCAAATCTCCTTCGGCAAATCACGAATTTTCAGGCAAATTTGTAAAAATTTCTCCTCCAATTTTTTCGGGAATTTTGTTCGTGATTTGATGTAGAGTGTCTGTAAATTTCAAGGAAAAATATTTATACACTGGAAAAAAAAACACATTGGATCTAGAGTCCAAACTCTTAAAAACATCGACAAGAAAAAATACTCTTGATTCAATCGGATTTTTGCTTAAATCAAGAACCAAGCCTCTTAATTTGAGCGGATTTCCTTTTGATTTATAAGCAAAAATCTGATTGAATCAAGAGTATTTTTCCTTGTCAATGTTTTCAAAAGTCTGAACTCTAGATGCAATGTGTTTTCTTTTCCAGTGGTATTGTTCTTCAAAAATAAACATTTTCCGAGAGGCAGTTTGGCAACATTTGAATGCACATACGGCGTTTTTCGGATGTCACAAATCCTGGAAAAGAATCAGAGCGCCGAGGAAAAGTCGGCCGTTCATCAGGGTGCGCCGCTCTCGATTCCATCTCGAGAAATCGTCGCACGTCGCTCCTCGGACGTAAGCACGTATCTGGATGTGCATTGTGCAAGTGAGCCCGGTTACAAATATGAATCAATGTTGTTCGGAGCTCATGTGAAAATCGAGATACGCCCTTACGTCTTAGGAGCGACGAAATACGGGACCCATCGCATCGGTGCCGGAGAAATATAGTCGCAAAAGAGATATATTTCAATGCAAATTCATTGACTTTAGCTTCAAAGGAAATGAAGAAAATATTTCACTCCCCGAGAGAAGAGCAAGCGGCGGTCGTCGTTTAAGGGCTCGAACAACACTGGCTTGCTAAGGAAAAACGCCTTATGAGCCTTCACGCGTTGCCAAATTTCCTTTAATAAAATACGAGTATGGTAGAAAAGATGTGAATATTTTTCTTTCAATTTTTCACAGAATTTTACTCGTAATTCAGTCTGAAGTATTTGAAAATTTCAAAGAAAAATATACGTAAATCTCCTTTTAAATTAACATTTTACAGCAGAGATTTTGGCAACTCTGGAATATTCATAGGGCGTTTTTCCATAGCATAGCAGAATACTCGGGAGAACTGAAAGAGACAATAAGAGACGGATTGTCCTGTTTCCTCATCGCGGCTCGCGCCAGCTTCTGTGAGTATTTGACCCGTTAAAGACGCTGAAGCCTCTTGACCTGTCAAACTGGGAGCGAGAATCCTCGAATAGACTAATTCCAGAGATGAGTGGCCATGTTGCCAGATAGTGCGCGAGTCTCGGAGGCGATTTGCCATGCCGAGGGAAAATCCTGTACTGTCGTGATGAGGAAAAACGCCGTATGAACCTTCAGGCGTTGCCAAATGGACTACATTTTGCAATAAGGAACCATTATCTCTGGCTCATTTTAAAAACAACGTAAATTCCACTGGTTTCCCTATGCAGGAAGATGCTTTTATGGAAGAGCCGTAGATAGTGGTTCCTTTTTGCAAAATGTAATCCAAATATCCTTTGGTAAGTCACGAATTTTCCGGAAAATTTGTGAATATTTTTCCTCCAGTTTTTCAGATAATTCTCTTCGCAATTTCAAATAAGGTTCCTGAAAATTTCAAGGAAAAATATTCATAACTTTCTTAAAAAATAACTATTTTCTGAGAGGAAATTTGGCAACTCTCCAATGTTCCTACGGCGTTTTTCCTTAGCGCGGCAGCGTATGGACATGATCAATTTCGTGGTTTCTCTTACGAAAGATCGTAACTGCATTTCAATGTTACCAACTTTTCTCGCGCGAATGGTCAAAGCTGAAAATCTCTAGACAGAGGGAAAGAACTCAAATGAGAACAATTTTCCCTCTTAGAGATACGCTGTTTGGTGCAACGTACTACTCACGACCATTCAGGAAGGCCACTGCAGACGCGTCCCAGGTCTAAGTAACAGCGCATCTCTTTGAGGGAAAATTGTGCTCATATGAGCTTTTCCCCTCTGCAATGAGATTTTCAGCTTTACGTTGATTTTTGACGCACGTTGCCTAAAAATTTCCAACTTACTATCGATACTACCCGTGTGTCTACCGTAATCAGCTTGTGAATCTCCTCAGCAATAAATTCTTCACAGAAAGAAATTTGGCAACATCCGGACACTCTTACGGCGTTTTTCCTTAGCACGGCAACCACCCAACTAAAAGAAAATCCGCGTCGATTTGACTCGTGCGGGACTACCCCTAATTAACCGCGCTTGTAGAAATTGTCATAAGTTTATGACTTCACCTACACTCAGGGTCTTGTGCCAAATTACTCGCTACGAAGTGAGACGTAAATCCAGTCCGCGGACTCACCGCTCCTCGCTGCAACTGAGGGATGCATTCGTCTCACGGTTTCGCGTTGCAATTAACGCTAAGTACTTTTTTTCTTCCACTTCACCCATTTCCAGTGGCTGTTCCGCCGTGCTAAGGAAGAACGCCGCATGAACATTCGAACGTTGCCAAATTTCACCGGATAAAACATGCATTTTTTTGGAAAGTTATGCTTATTTTTCCTTGATATTTTCAGATGTTTTAGATTAAATTGCGGGTAAAATTGTCTGAAAGACTTAAAGAAAATTTTTAACAATTTTCCCGGTAAATTTGTTATTTATTTAGGAAGATATGGCAACGTCTGAAGGCTCATACAGCGTTTGTCCTTAGCACGGCAGTGTTGAGGTTTGTAATCCGTAAGCATTTTGAGACTTTCAAATGAAATGGGTCTAAGGTTTCAGAGGAGGAAGTTCGCCACTGAATATTTTTTTATATGTTCTTCACAAACAGGAAGATAGAGATTGCTCTAATTGGACTGCATTTTCCATTAAGAAGCTGCAATTTCTGGCTCATATGTAAAAATGCCTATCTGCATAGGAAAACTGATGGCACATGATGTGTTGTTTCTAAAATGAGCCAGAAATTATTCCCAATTGAATCGATTTCTGTTAGAGGGACGTAAGTCCAAAAACTTATGAGCCGTGGCTTTCGTTGATCTCGCTGACGGAACGTAGTTTCCGAGGAGAAAGAACGTAAGCATATTTTAATTTTGCAAAATTTCCTCTTGCTATTTTAATTTCCACGAGGAAATTGGAATTTTCACTGAAAACTTATACCAGTTTCTCACATGAGAAAAGGTGAAAATCACCAAAATTATGGGTGAATGTTATTTTACGTTATTTACATTATTACGGTTATTTTTTTTGTTAGAACGTCAATTGTTAGAGTCACTTTAGCAAATTTAGAATGTAGATAAGCTCCTTCGTCTAAAACGAGAAATGAATTTTCGGTGCGGAGTTCCTCGTGCAAAGTAAATCTCCTATCTCTAAAATGTTCGTGTGTAGTGCATTGAAATGTATCTCTTTTACTACTGTATTTCACCCGAGCCGATGTATTC